TGGAGGCTTTGAGGCACCAAAAACGACGACAGTTACGAGCATGGCGACCCCGAGGGGCTCATCCCTGTTGGCACTTTTGAAGCATATCATCGCGGGGTGGGGGGGGGATACCATACCATTTGGGAGGGCTGGGAACGCAGAGCGCAGGACCATATGTATGGTTGAGGGTTGGGGTTTAAGGTGCAGGGTCGAGGTGTTAAATGAAAAATCAAATTCAACATCAAGTGGACTCCGGTCTAGACACAGTTTTCGGGGAACCGCATGGAAACCAATTTGAAGATGAATAGGGGTCTGGGGGGTACGGTTCAGGGTTTACGGGTTTTAGGTTCAGGCCCTACACTTGGTGATGTTCCGATTATTCAGACCCCGACTCCAAGGGCTTCACAATATGATGGAAACGGAGGCAGTTCTGGAAGCCCTAATAACAGATTGGCTCACCTATTTTGCCGGAGTTCAGCTTGTGGTCTGGGGTCTAAGGTAGGGCTGAGAGGTTAAGGTTTATAGGGTGTAGGGCGACAGGGAAAGGTAATCGTAACCTGGAACGTAGGGTTAGGATCCAGGGTTGTTTAACCCTTGAGCTAACATATGAATAGTAATTAATAGGGTCCTATTTTTAGGGGTTGGGGCAACTAGAACCTCCCCACTATTGTGGATGAAGGGTTGTAGTGTGGGAGTTTGGTAGTAAGACTCTGTGGAAATGCATGTGGAGAACATGGACGCGTGATGCATCAAAACTGGGTGCTTCTTTCCATAGGAAGAGGTAGGCAGGAACCCTACTGCCTCCAAGGAGGTCCCACTTAAGCACTAGTTCGGTAAGGGTTTGCAATGTTGAGTTCATGGCTAAAGGTCAGGGATCGAAAGGCTCCTGACCACAGACTGTAAGTATGGGACGTGCCAATTAGTCTTCGGTGGGTGGAAACAAAAGGGGAAGAAATCCAGAATGGTCCCTGTAAATAATGCCTTTCCAAATGAAGAATGATCCCATGAGTCACCCCAAACACGGATTCCTCAATCTCTGGCTGCAGGTGTGCGTGGTGGCTGCAGAGCCCAATGAAGGCAACTTACATTGAGTGAAGGTTTGGGGGTTTAAGTGAAGGTTTGAGGTTTGGAGTTTACAGATAGGATTCGCGGCTTAAGGATGTTGCATGTTTCTGATGAAGATGATGAGGATTAGGGGGCCCTACGCCTTAAATCGCCTCCAAAAGAAGTCCACAGAAACCTCTCCTAAACTATGAAATGGAGAGATTGGTTTGAAAAGTGCGGAGCTCTTCCGGCGGGCGTATTAGCCAATTTGAAAAGTATTTCAGACAAAAGATAGCATGTAGGTAGGTGCCAAAGGGAAGTTGTTCCGGCTTCCCAAAGCTCAGTCTCGACAAGGCTTCTTGATTGTCTTGACTACGGCTGAGGAGAGCCAGGGCTTCATCCAAGCGTTCTTGTGAAGCGCCATGATGTAGGCAGCCTATTGGGAAGACAAGCCCAAGGGATTGGATCAGGCGACAAGCCCAAGCTACTTCCCCATTGTTCCAGCCTTCAACTACTTCCATATTTTGCCACTCAAGCACTAACGTGTATTCTGCAGGGCACATGTTTCGGATGACCTGCTTGAGGGTACCCCCCAAAGGTGCAGAGTTAGATGTTTCTTGGAAGGATCCCAGCCTCTCTTCGAAATGGCAGAGGTGCGGTGCCAAGAATTGGGTTTGGTCAGTTTCCAATTCGCCTCCTTGTCATACAGGTCTCCCAAAGGGCTTGGACTTGAAGAGTTGATTGTGCCAATCTTCCTAACATCCCCGAGTCTGCTGCAAGGCTGCATGCTGTGGTACATATTCGGGTGTATGTACTGCAGATTGCACAGGTCTGAATGTTAGGCAATCTGGAGCTGTGGTTGCAGTTCTGCCATGTGGTGTAGCTTCACGGGTTCAGCGGTGCAGGCCTCTGGGTGTCCATGCCCTCAAAGGCCCCGAGGATGAAGGCACACAACAACACTGATGTTTTCAACAGACTTACAGGGCTTGCTTTTGAGGGCTCCCTTTTGGATTTCTTGTGTCTTGCTGGCTTCAGGATTTAGAGCAGCGGCCGAGCGTACATGTCCTGCATCGCTAAGCAGCAATGCAAAAGGATGCTTCTTGCGGTTTGTGGAAGTCTTCCCGAATCCTGGGTATGGGGCATTACCAAAGACTCTTGACTCGTGGTAGGACGTTTAAAGAACTATTCTTAGAATTAGCCTCTGAAGTCCAGAGCCGAAAGGCCTCAAGTTTTCAGCCTGAACCGCAAATCTGAAGCACCAAGCCTTGTAGAATCCTCAACCCCCAAGTCCCTCACCAGTTCTGAAGCCCTAAACCTTTCAGATCCTGGCATCCGTGGCGCATGTGGACTCCCGACTCGCCGAACTGGGTACATGGCTCCCAGGTCCAAATTAAGGTGGCTTCATTTAACTGACGTTACCGGAGGGTTAGGATCTGAAGGTTTGAGATGTATGGTTTGGGGCTTAGGGCTTAGGATCTAGCTTATGGGGGGGGGGACAGGTTTGGCTGATGTTTGTACACGGTTTGTTAAGACATGTTACGGGACCGTCAGGGACACTAGGAGCAGCACTTAGGGTTGTGGAACGCTTTTGACGCGGTTTCATAGGCATGCTCGGGGACTTTGTGGGTGTGTGAGGTCTGGAGTGACAACTGCGAAGGAGGTTCTAGACAAGGGTTTCAGGGAAAGGTTTCGACGTGTTTGGAGGGATTGCACTGGGATTCGGTAACTGTCATCGTAGCTTCAAAGGATTTCTCTGCGTGTATCAGGGGATCACTGAATTTTGGAATAGGTTCACATAATTGATTGGATGTTGTACGGATTTATTAGGCCAGGATCATAGGCTTTGAGCAGGATGAGCAGAGCCAGTTGGCCCGGGGAAGCCAATGAGCGCGTAGATTGCTAGTCCACAAAACCCACACCACTACACCTTAAGCCTCAAACCCCCCAAAATCCCAAACCTTATCCAAAAAAACCCAGGCCCTAAACCCTAGATCCCCTCATCTTTCATGAATGCCCTGGCTCTTCTAGCCTTTCCTAGACGTGCCTAATGAAAGCCTAGATTGTCTACAAACGCTCAGGCTTCGCACTGCCGCTGAAGAAGCCGCTGCGTGCACAGAAAGCAAAATGTCATGCAGGGTTGTACAGGGTAGACTTCGGAGATTATACAGAAAGTCTGCAAGATATCATGTCTCTGGCATGAAAGACAATGTAGACATAGAGGTTCTGGATTTTTGCAGAAGCTTGGCTGCGCTGCTCTTCAGATTCTAGGGCATTCGAGAGGCGGCAGTTGGGTTCTTAGGGGCATGTTGCTAGCTTGAACCCAAGCTTGCAGAGGCTGGGGCATTCCCAATTCAATACACACATATACATGCATACACCTGTATGTAGTTATCCAGAAAAACGCTTATGCTTGATGGGCTGGGCGGCTTCGAACACTTTCAGTCAGGCGACCGTGGCGAGAAGTTTGGGTAAGGTGAAAGTTCGAGCCACCCTACGATCAGAACTGAAAGGCTAGAAGCCTAGGATGTTCATTTGGTCACGCAAGTATCATATGGTCGACTGCCCTATAGGTTCCTGATTCTGGGGGCTTGGGATTACAAAAGTAAGCTATAGTCTAAACTCCTTAAAGGGTGGTTATGTAGGATTTTTTTTATCGGGGACTACTACTAGGGTTATTAAGAGGGATACGAGTGTTTAAGACAATGGCTCACATGATCCTTCATATAGAAGCCTTCAACTGCTAAGGGCCTACCTTGCATCTGTGGGAGATTTTTGTCCTTGCTGACACTATTCTTCCATGAGACCCCTATAATCCTTTAAACCCTAATTCCCCTAAGCCCTGATCTCCTAAACCCAGTTTGGCAAAACCTGCGGCTGTGTAGAACGGTGGTTCCTTCGTAAAGGTGTCTTAGGAAGAATCATGACATTCTGCAGGGGTGAAGGCAACCCCAAGTAGTTCACACCTCCCAGAACCCAAAAACCTTTCTTGGGAAGCAAGATTTAAACCTTTAGAATCCCCCCAACATCCGCTGAACTCAGAAGTGTCCTGCGGCCACTTCGCTCAAGATCCCTAGGGGATGGAAGTTTGGCCAACGGCCAAACAGAACTCGATCAGAGCCTTGCCTCTCCTGTTGGAAGAGCGGCTCAGAGGGCTTCTGGTTTAGGGGCCTGGTGCCGTGTAGGGTTTGGGGGTCTCGGATTTGGGGTTTGAGGCTTGGTATCTAGAGTCTAGGATTTAGGGTGGTGGGCGTGGGGTGTACAGTTTTGGGTTTGGAGTGCAATTAGGGTTTGGAGTCTATGGTTTGGGGATTGTGTATCTGGCAGTAATTCGTTGACCGTTTTGGGGTCTTGGGCCGAGCCATGCACCAACAGCTTAGCATCAAAAACCCCAAGCCAAAATTCCTCAATCAAATGGCTTATACTCCTGCAATCGCAATTAAGCGGAGAGCCTGCAGAATCTGGACACCTAAGGAACTCTTTAAAACGTCGAGAGAGCTCACGTTCGCCCCTTTGAGTTGCGCCTTTGCAAGTGAGATGGGGGGTTTTGCGGTTAGGGTCCGGGCTTAAGATTTGGGATTTAAGCATCGTAGGCGTATGCGCAAGGCTGATGCAAAAAGTTGTTCAGGCGTTGTGGCTTCAGGTACAGACTTGAGCTTGGGAGCTTTGGGTTGAAGACTTCAGGTTTAGTTTGGAGCTTCGGGTCGAGGCAATAGAGGTTAAGGCTGGAGGTTTAGGGGTCGGCAGGCAGGGAGGCAAGAGACATGAAGCAAGGGGATTCACAGCATCTTTCCAGAGCCATGGGATGCATGTTAGGGATGGTACAGAGGAGCCCAAGGTTTCACACCAGGGTCTTGCAGAGAATGGAGGGGATGCCAGAAATGGTTCAAATTCGATTGATGCCTTTGCCCCAGCGGTAGATACCCCCTTCCCCTGTCTCAACTCTTGGCTTGGTTGTCCCATTTCAATGGTCAAAAGGCGTCTATTGGAGCTTGGGATCACCAAAATCCCCGTGACAAGCTCGTTTATAGTACCCTACGCCTTACAATAAGCACCGCGACCCAGGGATCACCAAACGCCCCCTCAGGAGATCCACTGATGGCCAGTGGGCAAAAAGGGAACGTAATCCCTACATAGAACCTACAAAATATATTCCCAAATTCCCTCTACTGACCCCTATATATATATATACACGTCGTTTCCATTTTCTCTTCCCTTATCATTATATCCTTATATAACCCCAATATAGTCCCATATTCCCTACAAGCCCTGAACTCCAAGCCCTATCTTCTATTCCTTCATTCCCTACTAACCCCCTGTAAGTAGAGAAGGTGCCCCTTCGTGTCGAAGATGCTTTCCGTGCGCGGCATCGTTGCAGCAAGGCAGGGCTTTCAAGATGTCAAGGTTTACAATTGCTATATTGTATAGGGATCCCAATATAGGGGTTATATAAGGACAATGGAAAAGAAAATAGAAGCTACTATTTAGGGTCAGGGTTTGGGGTTGAGAGTTTAGAGTTTAGAGCTTAGGGTATGGGACCTTAAACCATTAACCCATAGAAATTGTATGGGGTTCGGGGACCCTAAATCCTAAACCCTAATCATATGAAAATTATATCGGATTCATGTCCACGGTTTTGGGTGGAGTTTTGAGAGGAGTTTTGTCTTGACCCTATGCAGTTTCTGTTTTTTTTCTGGGCTTGATGAATGTACGGGGTCTAGGGCTTAGGTGTTGGAGATTAGAGGCGTTGGGGTAGGGATCAGTACAAGGTACGTACAGGCTTGGGTGGGGTTCCAGGTTCGGGCGCAGGGGACACCTGCCCCCACGTGCTGTCAGTTAAGATTGTGCCATTCATGTGATACGGCCCTCAAGAGCTCCGGGCTTAGTACTTTTCCCTTGCTTTGACTGCTGCTAGTTTGCGTAGCTTTCGGCAGGGTTTTGTGGGGTCGATGTAAAAATTATGTCTATTTCGTGCTGCTCTCAAGTTGCGAACCTTGAGTTGGAGTATTGCAGGACAAAACAACATAATTGCGAGTTTGCTGAGACTCAGAAATCGTACTCCCCCAAGCCCACTTATTCCTTCATAGGCTTCCTGAATATAGGGAACCACTACATACACACGGGAATCGTAGCAGTTCAGCTGTTCCGCCCTCAGATCCTTCATTAGATCCCTTTTTCAAGGAAGCTGTCACCAACCGAACCTGAAACTATAAACCCTCAACCTTGGCATGAGGATGGCGGGTTGGGGCTGTGGGAACTCAAAGCCGCAGGTCCTGAAATGAGGATGTCCAAAAGGGTTTCTTTAAAAATCATGGAAACCTCCAGGTGGGCAGTTGTCAGGCAGGGGTCCCATAGAGGCTTTGATATCCGCTCATATAAGCCGTTTTTGGGGGCCCCCCTGGTAACTACCCCCTTGGGCATGTCTGTGATCTATACCAGGAGCATGGAAGTGACAAAAACAAACTAAAGTCAAAAGCCTGTTAGGAAGGTCTTCCTTGCACCCTCCCCCAATCAGACATGGAAGCCTTTATATGGCTCTCCTTCAACAGGCCGGAAGTCTTTGCTGGGCCCGTTTTGGACTTCCATGTCAGCTTTTGGGCAAGTGTACATTCCCTGGCTGCAGGAACTTGACGAATTGCCGCGCCCCCCGAGGACCTGCAAATCCCTTTCTGGGTAGATATGAGATCGTATTTCATTCGCCCCCGCAGCCTTAGGTCATTCCTCTAGACTAGCCAGGAATTTCTGAAAGGCCTCAAAGCCTGGGTGGGTTTGGCGGAAGCCTTGAATGCTTCGGATGCAAGGTTTCGCAGAGGTTTAGATTCTCAAGGGTGTTCATCTTACTTGGGTTCCATTCATCGAAAAAAGTCTGCACAAAGGAAAGCCTTCAGGATGACGTGTGATTGCTCAGGGTTGTTTCGTTGGGGAGTTGCTCCCAAACCCCAGCTCCATTTCATCTGACAGCGTTGGGATGAAATGTGTCCCCTAAACCCTGTGGTATAACCTCAAGCGGACACGTTCCACACGTGCTTTGGAGATGGACGGACCACATTATGCGCGCGTCTTTGCTTGCTGCTGAATGAGTTCAAGGAAGGAAGGCTCATCGCTTGAAGCAGTGACCCTCGGGTGCCATCGATGCTAGGCCAAACTGCTTGCACAGCGCATGCTGAGGAGAGGCGGTCTCTAGACCTCGCCAAGAAGCAAACTGCAGCGGGCCTTCCGAACAAGAAGTTCCTCATGGAGGTTGTGATCGACAGCCTTTCTGCAAAGTCCCACACTACAGCTCTTTCGTCACATCACCGACCACTTGCCACATACACTCCTAGTCATGTGTTGTCGCACAGCTGCTAGGGCGCAGGAAGGCTCAGGAAAAAATCTTCC